ATTTGCGTACATGATGGGTTTGGGCATGACCAATAATTTTGGCTTTGGCCCAGTCAAACTAATATTGTTCATTTTCGACATGGCTCAAGACCAGGGATTTCTAGTTTATGTCACTTGACTGCCAGCTGTTTTCAGGTGCCATCCTCTTCATCTAACATAGAACTGGTTGCAGTTGTTGCCACTGATTTTATACATTATGTTGGTGCTATCTTCATTCCATATTTTGTTTTTTTACCTTTGTTGGTTCTTGTCTGAGTAAATGTAGGTTTGTGAGCTATTGTTATTCCCAGGGGTTGCAGTAGCATGGCAGATACTTCTGTCAAACCCACATTGTCCAAATGGGAAAGGACCAAGACACGACTGACTTTATGCAGAACCATCAGTCCTGGGTAGTGCACAATTGGTATATCATCTCCATTTCTATCTGGTGGCCTCTCATGTGAGAAATAGAAACATGGGAGGAATGTGTGCGAATTGGCCCATAGAAGAGCAAACTCAAATTCTCCTTTTTTCAATAAGCTTTAACAAAATATCTATGGCAATGTAACTCATCTGTTCCTTTATTAAGAGAAAACTTCTTTGTTCAAGATAGTAACAGTAGAAGGATGGGGAAATAACTAGAGGTTTCCTCATTATAAATATGTATGTTTATTTATGCACATATGATTTTCTCCTCTTTTCTGGAATGAATAAACATGAGGGCATACTTTTGTCTTCAAGAGTTCCTCCTACTAATTTCCAGACAGGATTTATCCAGGTTGTACCCTTAACAATAAAAACTACCATGAGAAACGATTATTGATTATTCTGTCCTGTATTTCATCCCAGAGTGATTTTGGGAGGGAGTGGGCCTGAAGGATTAAGCAGTTGTAATAGCCACACAAACATGACGATTGGCCCTTGTTGAGCAATGATGAAAATGAGGGAAAAGTAACTTTGCAACCTATCCACCTTGACAACATTAGCTGGTTTGTAAAGCATAGAAAAACTGAAGTCATAATTGTTGCAACAGTGTCACTTAGCAAACATTTTTGCATGATTTTTGGAAGCAGCCACCAGCGATCTCATTCAATTGTGATCAATTGCAAAATGGTGGCCACTTTGGTAACTGCACAATGCAGCCATTTGACAAAGTGATCCATTCTGCTTCCCTCGTGTGATCTATGCAGTATTGCACAAAGCTCCCATGGTAGGTGAAGTTTTAGGTGGATGTCAACATCGTAGAATTTTGGTCTATGGCACTGCTTCTCATCCTATGGTCCAAACACCCTGGTGGGGAGAGGGACCACATCATCACATGGGGTCTGCGAAGGCTTGAAGAAACGTTATGATTTAAATCTTGAGTTGAGTCTTGGAGATCCATGGCCATAAAGGATATTTACAGGGGGCCTGTTGGAAAGAAAATGTTGAGAACCACTAGTCTACAGCCTTGATATTTGGCATAGGCTAGTAAAGTATTTCAGCATTGTTTAGGTTGATATGCTGAAGAGCATAAGAAAATCTGCGAAATTGTTCATCAGCAACTGTAGATCAGTACTTTGTGTGCAAGGAGCACATTGTCATGAGCAAATAGGTTTCTTGAATATATGGAGGCACCTGACCCAAACATTAACAATCATTCAGTGAAGGTCACAGAGAAACTTCCATTTGGTATCTGAAGGACCTTCCAAAGTGCAGATGCCCCTAAAATACTTAACACAAAGATTTGCAATTTCAGTTGCAGCTTGGTGCGATTTCTGCCCAGTGGTGGAATACGACCCGTACTCTCTGGTACAGGCATACCAGTGACTGCTCGGAGCACCAGGTACTGATCTGGTACAGTGCTCCAGAGGGGCCACCCGCCCACCCATCCTCCTTACCAGTATTTGAGCCGATCGGAGCTTATGC